TAGTTTCGCTGGAACTGGAACAACACTAATGCATGTCCTGTAAAACTTAATTAAACCTTAAACATTATTTATGTACTCATTCATTATATTTTATATGATGATTAGCCAGACTCCAGCAATAAAGCGACTAGTAAGTTTACCTGGTTCTTTCACTCTGCATGAAAACTATAGCGGGGGTACGGAATACATGGACCATAGATACTAGAATTCTAGAAAGTAGAAACAGCTCCGACCAACTCCACATCATCTGCCTCCATGTTGCTCCACGTGTCCTGTCTAACCACATTATGACTGCACATGTGCACTAGTCACCCTTCACCACTGCTGTACACTAGCATGCAAATGGCAGCAGGCCTTCAGCCTCACTTTGATCAGGAAGACTACAGTGATGATTAGGGTGAGGAAAAAGAGGAACAGAGGAGAGAATTGATAATGGCCTGTGTTTCAGACATCATTGCAGGAGTTTTTGCGGCTTTCACTCACAGTCAAGTTATGTAAGTACAATTATAAATGCCTACTAGTTATGCTTACAATCTGCATTATTATGCACTTTTAGGGTGAGTAACAATGGTGAGGGTGGTGGTAATGGAGTTGGGCGACCATCCCTGTCTCTTGATATGTATGAAGTCGAGTATTTAAGGTTCTTAGGTTTCAGCTGGACAGATATAAGCAGGATACTCAATGTAAACCGTTCTACATAGTATAGAAAAATACAAGGCACTGGATTAAATTTTCAGACTTACACAATGATATCTAATACAGAATTAGATCGTGTTGTCAATGAAATAAAAGCAGATTATCTGTTTATTGGAGAAGTCATGATTGCTGGCAATTTAGGCTCGAGGTACATTTAAGTTACACATTCAAGGCTTAGAGCTTCAATTCACAGATTAGACCAATTTGTTCATGATAATATGAAATGTGCCATTAGGCGTCATACATATCATGTTCAGTCACCAAATTACATCTGGCACATCAATGGGAATCACAAATTGATAAGGTGGCGTATTGTAGTTCACGGTGGCGTTGATGGATATTCTTGAGTTATTGTATTCCTGAAACCATCCACCAATAATTTAGCTGCTACTATGCTCTCTCGTTTT